AAAGTGAGGAGAAATCCAATTCACGTCGGCCGGTTTTTTTTCCGGCCCGCGCTCGGGCGCTCGGGCCTGGCGTGAGCTACTCTCACCTTTGCGCCGGCCTGGGTCCCATCCTGGCGGCTTTTTCTTCTTTTTTGTCCCCCCGTGCTGGTTGACATACCAAAACTGAGCTGGAAAAAAAAAAAAACGCGAGGGTCCATTTTGGGGAAAATAGAGGGACCCCCTCATAAGGTGTGGATGTGGCAAATTGAGGGATATCTTTGGCCTTGATTTCCCTTGGACAGAGCCATGAGGGAGTGGGAACCTTGTTCCTCCACTTCAATGAGGCAGTAAAGCAAGCAGGCAGGCAGGAAGGCAGGCAGGAAGGCAGGCAAGCAAGCTAGCAAGCAAGCAACAGGCACTATTTGCAGATGGAGACAGGGCGGGAATCGTCCCAAAATAGCATGGCCGAACATGGCTTAGGTGGAACAACTCCAGCAGTGCTTTCGTGAATTGCTGGATTCACACATTCGCCTGCAGCTAAGAGAGCAACTTCGATTCAGTGATTCAACCCGTAGCCACAACCAATCGACACCCCTGCATTTGTTACACGGAGAGTGTGTACAGAAAAGGGGAAACAAAAACTCGCTTGCTCTTCCTACCTGCGACCCGGAGTGTTCATTTATCCCCTCCAAGGTTCAACTGACATGACCCTAAATGCCTGATCCAGTGGATTACACAGATGTCCTTTTGGTTTTGAAAAGCAGAAGGTGCTGGTAAACAACTGGAACCGAACTGTATCCAGTGTCATCCAAGCAAACTGACCCAAAAAGGATACCCATGTGAAGCTGGGTTCCCTTTGCCATAGGGTTGCAAGCATCCATCACCTAGAGAGAAGGGTGCCGAGATGCTGCGGTGCACATTTGGGCCACAACTTCAAGGGACCCGAAAGAAAAAAAAAAAAAAAAAAAACGCTACAGGACGTTTCAAGGGAGCTCGAGCAACAACATCTGGCATCTACGACCCGGATGCATCTGAGATCAGTTTGGTGAGATAAGATCACGCCTACTGTCATGACCGGCCAAGAAATGACCATCATGGCATGCTGTACGCTAAGTGTTTGTTTTGCTTGCCCGTTGTTCGAATCCTCGGCGTCATGAGATTTTTCGCTGTGTTGACTCGGCTGAAGGTCGCAACCAGGATCTTACTGTCTGACGTTGGAATCGACGTCCAGCTGATTGGCTTCAAACTGCGCCATGATCAGTCTCAGCGTGGCATGTCGCAGGAGTGGTCCTTCAAAACATGACCGTTGTTCAGCATTCATCTGCACCATGTTTGTTGCATCAAACAATTACAAGTTCAAAGAACAACCCAATAAACACCGTCACGTCCGTGTCCGTCTTCTAAACTACATATCGCGCGGCATGGCTGATCAATGACAAATTCCTTCCAACTGTTCGCCATTGAGGTGAAAACCTGTCTAAAGAAAGCCGCGACGTCCGCGAAAGTCCAGAATTTCCGGAAACACACAAGCAAGACTTGTTCAAAATCCTTACTCCTACTCAAAGTCTCAAAGTGCTTGATCAAACATCTTTCCCATACAACAATTGCATTATTCTCGGGAAAGAGCTCTTCAACTGCCATGAAGCTGCAATCTCCGATCCTTCCACAACTGGAAGCAGCAACCAACAAATTACCCACCGCAGCAGTCAATGCAACAGAAACGCAGGCATCCCCCTCAAAATGAATGCATGTGTATATATGTATATAGATATATAGAAATGTGTGAGTGTGTATGTATACACACATGCCCCCCCCCTTCCAAAGATCTAAACCCGGCTTGTCAATGCTCAAAACATTGGCAAACACATATGCTTTCAAGCATGTCACAAGCATGTTGGGAAACCGAAGCTGGCGACCGATTCGGTTGCATTGTTAGGTGGGTGGTTCTAACAAAAGCTTGTGTCTTGATGGTTTTGCAATGGTTGCATTGGTAGGTGCGTGGTTTTAACAGAAGCTTGTGGTTTGATGAACTTGCAACAGGGTTCGGTTGCCTTGTTAGGTGCTCGGTTTTAACAGAAGCTTGCGGTTTGATAAACTTGCAAGAGGATTTGGTTGCATTGTGAGGTGCGTGGTTTTAACAGAAGCTTGTGTCTTGATGAACTTGCAAGATGATCGCGGTGTTAACAGAAGCTTGTGTCTTGATGAACTTGCAAGATGATCGCGGTGTTAACAGAAGCTTGTGTCTTAATGGATTTGCAAGATGAGTTTGTTGCATTGTTAGAAGTTTGTGTCTTGATGAACTTGCAAGATGATTTGGTTGCATTGCTCGGTGCGCGGTTTTAACAAAAATGATTTGGTTGCAGAAGGAAACATGATGTCAAACTCTTGACACCTAGTCCTGGCAGCGTCAGAGCAGATGACCTTCGCTTGAGGAACCTCGCTCGGGCCAGGCGCGCGCTTCTTAGCTTGAGATGAAGCGATGCTTCCACTAATGTGACCCTGGATTAAACCCCTGTTTTATTAATATGGGGGTGTCCCTGGTTTTAGTGGGGATTCATCACTTTTGGAGGGGATTCATCGGGGGTCACCATTCGTTGGCGCCATGGTTCCCGCTTGGTGTTGATGTTGCCAGGGACGCCCTGGCCCGCCATCTTGCCAACGTCGACTTCGTCCACCCCCACGTCGCAGTTGCCTCCAAAGCGGACACCCGTCTCCTTCCTTCCAACGTACTTGGCGCAGGCGACCTCCAAGTTTGCCTACATGCGACAGGGTTGTGGTCCATGTCAAGAAGATGAGTGGACTGCACATGCCCCGGAGTACAGCCTCCTTGCCGGGCGTAGGACTTGCCAGAAGGCAACAAAATGGTGCGGGAAGAGGGCTGGAGCCCCTGTGGCCCATCTTCGTAGCGCCAGTTTGATCGGATTTGGTTCTTCAGCTCAGATAGGCAGCCCTGGACACTACAAAGGCCGAAGGTTCTTGGGCCGAAGGTTCTTGGGCCGCAGGGGTTCAGGTGTGGATCTTGGGTGATGTTTTAAACAGCTGCAGAAGACTCTTCGGCAGAAGGGGTCCAGATATGGATCTTGGGGAGACATATATTCCGATACATATGAACCATGTGTATGCATCTCTCTCCATATATATATATATATATAATATATATATATATACGTGGAATTACAAAAATCTCAACACATCCTTCCAAAACAGTGGACACTTGTGACCCAAGTCAACTCCTTCTTCCCCCTGCTTAAAGGCGGCCACTTCATGCACTCGGCCCGTTTGGGCCTCGCCCTGCAAAGCTTGCACTGCTGGAGGCAGCAGCCAGACTACCACTCTCCGACCTGGCGTTCCGAAGCACCGGGCAGAGGATGAGTTGGGTGGTCTGGACATTCACGTAGGGTGTCATGTCCAGAAGCAGGGATCCTTACATCATACATCTGAACATTGCCTTGTAAATGGTGGTTTCCCCATATTTTGGTGGAAGAAGCCATGTTTCAACTGGGCTAAATGTATCTTTTAAGGAGCCCTGAGAAGGTGTTGCCTATTGGAACTCATAGCCAAAATTGGAATGTGGGAATGCGTTGAGCCTTACACGGAAAGACAACATTCGGGATTTGCCGGCTTGGTGTTTGCCGATAATGAGGGACCCTCGTTTTAATGCTTGAACGGAAGCAAAGGGACCTCTGTTTCCGGGCGCCCTCCTAGAAAGAAACACCCTAGCCAAATTGCCCAACCTTCTGCCTTGACAGACCTTTGCGTTTGGGACAAAGACGGCTTGCCGTTCGTTCGCCATTCGTGTGTTTTGAGCGTACCATATGGCTATGGGTCAAAACCCCGTACCCAGTGAACATCCCAATCCCCAATAAAATAGACTAAAATGGTTGGTGCACCTACCCCAAATGGAACCATTGGTGTTGAACCTTGAAGTCCCCCTTTGACACACATGGAAGCCGAGCTGTCAGAATGTGCTGGGTTTCCCATCGGTTTCCCTGGTGCAACTATCCCTCGGGCATCAAATCCCAACGGCTTTGTCCCCTTTCCTTCGCGCCAAAAGCCCCAACACGCGCACGTTTTGATCATCGACTTCTCCGACACAACCAAACATAAGATGGGTGTCTCTCTTTTCACGGCAAGGTTTTCCTTTTGGCTTCCCACTCGAAGCGCTTAAGGGGTAACGTCACACATCCATATTCAAACCAACACACGGGACAAACACGACCCATGGACCACCGCTGTTTCCTGTCGCCCGACACCTTTCTGCGAACCTGTTGGCGCTAGCACTGAGCTCTGTGGTCTCCGAGACCTGAAAGCGGGGTCTTCGGTGCGGAAGGTCGTCCATCGAGAAAAACTTGGGTGCTGTAGATCCCCCAGCAAAAAGCTCAACTTTTGGCTGGTTAAAGGGAAATATGAAAAGAAACCGAAAAGGTAAAGTCCAAAGATCCAACGCAAAGAGACGAAAACGCGGGCCTCCCTCTGAGGGGTTGCAAGGGGCACGTGTCTGATTCTGCTTCTGGCGTCGCTTTTTTTCGCGGCGAGGCCACCGCTTGTTGCATTTTTTTGGGGTTCAACGTCTCGCGCGGTGAAATCTTGGACACCTCACAAGTGAGGCGTTGACCCCGCATCACTTGAGGCTACGTCTTTCGTTGGGTGTCTCAGGCCAGTGGACACTGCCAAGCTACTTCACTGTCCGGTGCTTGGTGATTGAAAAACCATATAAAGCGAATTAAGCTGGATATGCTTAGACCAGGGATTACTGCGGGCACGCGGACCATAAGGTTCAGTATGCAAGTAGCTGGAAATGTGATTTCGTTGGCAGCTTAGGGGCCTTTGTCAGGGTTAGCCTCAGGGAGCCTTGGTCATAACCCACCCACCCACCCCCAAACCCACGTTGCTAAGGGAATCCAATTTGAGGGTTCCATGCTTCCAAAGCTGACCAGAAGGTTCCTCCCTCGAGCAAGTCACTTTACGAGCAAAATGGTCCACCAGGCCTCCAGTCGAGTTGTCATTCGAGCCGCCTTTTTCTTTTTCGTTTCTCGCAGAAGAAGTCCCGTCAGAAAGCTGGCCAGCGGGCCGCTGTCTCTCGCGAAGGCCGCGAGAGCGAGGCGTCGCAGCGCCAAAGTCACTCAAGGGCCCCTTGACCTTAACTTGGACATGACAAATTCCACCACCAACCGGCAATCTACGCCTCCGCCGGCATTTGAGACTCTCTGGCGCACCGGTGGGCCAGGACTCTTGACTACCAATCATAGCACAAGGTCTCAGAATGCTCGGAGTAGAACTGGTCGTACCATCGCATAAAGTCCAAGAATGGCCCGTCGCCCGATACCTCGGGCGAATCGAAAGAACAGCCCGCGGCTGGAAGCTTCTTTCTCCCGGCAAGTTCTGAGCCAGCTGGTGACTAACGATTGTCGTTCACAAACCCAAAATCGAGGACTCAATGAGATGCTTTGAAAATTGACTTTCTCAAGAAGGCACGCACAAATATGCTTTGATCACAACGTGGACATGGGAAAATTGGGTGGGACCTTTGGTTTTGTGTGGAAATAGACTACAGTACCATTGTGTGCTCACATGAGCCTCCATCCAAAGTTCGAGCCACAGCGTGTACGGAATCCAGTTCCACGTGGACCCCCCCCCCCCCCATGTGACGACGAGTTCCTGCCGCTTTTCTTTTCTCTGGGTCCCTCAAACAAGGGACCCTTGGAATTTCATGGAGTTCAAACCCAAAGCGGCGATTCCCCGATTCAGAATACTTGTTCCAAGATCAGGCCTTTGGTAGCCATTCGAGAAAAAACAAAAAAAACATGCATAGGTGTCCTTTTTGGGGAAATAGATGGCCCTGGTAGATGATAAACCACCAGGTAAACCAGGGCCATCTATTTTTCTAGCAAAACAACCAACAAGAACACCTGTGAACCCATCCATTTCGCCTCTTGGCACCCACACAAATCGCACCTGAGCTCTACCTCGCCGTCCCAGCGGCGAGCACCGGCTTCTTGTGGTAGACCTTGTTCTCCCACACCTCCGGGACCAGGCCTTCTGAAAAACTGGAATCTTCTAGGGGTTGATTCAACTTGTCCATTATTTTCAGCCATCGTTCTTTTCAACCGTTCGCCATTTCCTCAGGGTTTTTGGTTTTCTAGAAGGGGAGTTACCCCTAGAAATCTGGCTCTCGCTCCAAACCTGCGACAGCCAGGAAGGTGTGGGAAGGCCACTTTCCTTGGGAAAGATCACCCTCCCTGCTTGCATGATTGTTGCTTGGTTGCTGTTGACCCCTCTGCAAAAACTTTAACTTTTTGTGGGTTTAGTGGAACACCCCTTGATTTCCCAAAAAGCTAAAGTCTAAAGATCTAAGCCAATAGCAGTCAAGGTTGGAAGGAGGGTACCAGGCCAACCACTGAAGGAGCTCTAAGAGAGCGATTGCAACAACTATTGCTGACTAAATCCCTGCCTATGTGCCAATTCGATTGCTCCCACTGTAACAACATATAATCATCGCTGGTTGCCAAATGTGCTGGGCGGCTGTCCAAACAATGGCGACGTTGATTGAAAAAAATGTGCAAATTCCCATTTCTGCTCTTAAGGGTCGGTCCTGCCCAACGGACAAACAACCCACAGTTCTTGGTGTACAGAAAAAGACGCAGATTCGGCCATTTCATGGACTGGTCATCACCGGCTCGAGACAATTAGCAGCTGCAGTCCACCTAGCGGATGATTCACCGAAAAAAGTACTTGGACCCTGCCCAAACGTCAATACTGCGGAAACCTGCGTGAAAACCCAAGGAAACCCGCGGCAAACTGTGGAAACTTGTGCGAAACCTTGAGAAGGAAACGCGAAGGAAACCTGTACGGTTGCTGGCACCACTTCAAAGCATTGTCTGTTGGTATATACAGGAGAAACATGCTTCCAGGGCCTCTTGGGTGGTGCGGGATTCGTCCATCCACAGTATGGGTGCGTGTTTTGAGGGCACCCTTTACCAACAGGTTCCCCCTAGTTCACACATGCCCAATGTGCCGGCTGACTGCACGACTTACCATCATTCCCAAAGCCCGAAGTAAGAAACCGCAAGGACTCATCACGGACCCCACCAGATGTACCCTTTCAGTGGTTGAATCCCACACTTTCTTGGGCCCGCCCCCCAATTATTTGGATGGGTCTCATCCGGGGTTCGCATTATCCCTGGATATATCACAGAACAAACAAGGGAGTAACAAATGTTAATGGATATTTAGAGAAAAAAACATGATATGTCCTGACACCAAGGTATCCTTGTAGACGAGTGAGGCACACGCAGCAACCATATGTGTCCTTTTAGGGGAAATAGATGGCCCTGGTAGATGATTAAACCACCAGGTAAACCAGGGCCATCTATGTTTCTACCAAAACAACCGAAAAGGACACCTATGGCAGCAACCTTTTTCCCTGCCCGGGGATCGCCTGGCGGTCCTGCTCAAGCGCGCGGCCGCCTATGCAGGCGAGCGCTGCGGCTATGAAGCCTCAGGCCATGACCCGGACTAAGAGGGTGGGCCTCCCCCAAAGGGGAATTCAAGAAACCCACAACGAGGTTGACCATAGGCCTTTTTGGACAAAATCCGTGGGCTTCCCTGGTAAATGCCAGGTCCTCCAGGTTTCTTTTCTGTAGTCTATAGGGGAACCCTCCCCAAAAAAAGAAACGGTAAACGGGCGCTACTGGTGGCCCCGGACAAGCAAAATCCTGCAGGAAGTCTCGAGGCTTTTTGGTGGGTGTCTCGCCAAAGCAGAACTTCCTGTCGCTGGTTCCTATGAGTGAAAATTTCCAACAAGGGGTCCATTTGTGTTGGTTCCTACATCCCCAATGCTCACAACTGGGAAAAAGGGAATTCATCCATCTCAACAGGTTTCTCCAGCTTGCACGCAACTCAAGGAGAAGCTTGCGATCAGAGAATCACACAAAACCCACTTGAGGACCTGAAGGCTATGTGTTCCAAACATACCGGGGACAAATAAAAAAGCGGCGGCGGCTCTTCAACCATCCTGAAAAGAGACAACCCACTCGACTTGTCCAAACTAACTGGCCCTTGCAAAAGGGCATGGGTCCATTGCCTGGGGAGGGAGCCGTGGGCAAGTGCCAATTCAGAGTGGCAAAATTCCTTGACTTTTGCTTCTCCCAACATGGGCGTGTCCTTTTTTGTTGTTGAGGCGGGGCCATTCCCGTTTTGCAGGGATGGGGTGAAGGGAACCAAAGGGGACCCACCGTTTTTTGGTGGTTATTTGCTCTTGAAGCAAACGCCCACGGCTGTCTCCGGCTCTGGATCCGAGACGCGGGGCACCGAGTTCTCCGCGTACCAGCGGGCCTCCACGTAGACCTTGAAGGGTTCCACGGGGAGAATCGTCTTCACCTGCGCCAGAGCAAAATACGGCCGCACCTAGGCACTAAAAAATGAGCCGGACGCGTTTCAGCCGGCCCCAGCCAAGGCAGCCGCATCGGTGGGCGCTTCTAAATGAGGCTAGGGAGGAGTCTTATGCGGGCCGACTAACGCTGGCGCCACCGGGCTGGAGATCGCGCTGAGATCGGCCTTTTGTTGGATGTGCAAGCCTTTCCCCAATTTCCCTGGCTGGCAAGCTTTCCCGGCGAGAAGTTTGCGGCGCGAAGCACGTTGTGTTGATGTGAAGCACGTTGTTTTTTTGCACATGCTGCATATTTTGTGCGGCACCGACAAGACGAGTTCTTCGTGTTGGCGCGCTTTCTGGCCTGGATAGGCGGCCACTGTTTTGCGTGGAATTGATGATTCGCGTGAAGCGGCACTTTTGTTTCTGTGGTGGGCTTGGCCGCGCGGACGTGGAACGGCGTCGCTGTTTTGCAAGGTGTTGCCGCGACTCATCCCTTGGCGCCGGACTGGCCAGAGGATAGCAGCCTTCCAGAAGCGACCCTGCTGTCCTCTTGCCCTTTCAACCCACAGAGGGAGGTTCCTGCGCATGCAGGCAAAGGCATGATGTGCTTTGTCCCCGGCCAAAATGAGGAATCTGTTAGACAGCCTTTTGCCAACACCTTCAGGAAGCTGATTTGGGCCTCTTTCCTGGGTCTCGTCCCTCATGAGATTTTGTTTGTGGGTTTGTTATTGGAGGGGTTATGCAGACCGCACACCCTGGGTCCGCCGATGCCTTGATGAATATCCATGTGGGAATGCAGGGGTGCATCAGGTTGGCCCAGGTTGGTGTCCCGCATTCCCCCAACCCCCCCCCACCCGCACCCCCCCACCTGCCGCAGAACCCCGATGGGCGTGCGGAGGCGGAAGTGCACCACTGTGGGCCCCTCGAAGGTGACGTTCGTCTCGATGGAGGAGGCCACCGAGGCAGAGAAGGGCACCTCAGCCACGTGGAAAAAAAAAAAAGAACACCGCCCACCGAGGCAAAAGTTTGGCACTACCAACACCCATTTGCGTACGTCCCCTGGAAAAATACAATAAAGTTATGTCCAGTAGTGATAGATTCCCTCAACACCAAAACGCTTTGTCTCCTGCCACGCATCTTGTTGCAACAGGCGGCAAGTGCGCAAGATGCTTCGGCGCTTGGCTTAGTCTCATACTATCCTTTGTTGGGCAGCGCGTAGTTGTTTCTGTGTTGAAACGGGTCACCATCAAGATATGTGTGACTAGTTCGATTGTGAAATAACCTCATTGCGTCTAAACAGCCATGGCTGTCTAGGTCGCCAAACTCTGCGTTTACCAATATGGATAGTATTGGATAGGTTCAGCACTGTCTGGTTGATATGAGATTTGGCGCGTAAAATGCACCCAGCCAACTTTACCCGCCTCTCATCCAATTGTTGGTGGGAAAGGTTTGACTTGTCTGGCTAGTTGACTAGGGAATGCTGTACGGAGGCGAGTTCATAGACCCTCGAATTTGTATGGCGCCTGTCTACACGTGTGGTTGGCGACTTTAAATTTCGTCATAGCCCCGCAATTGGAAATCATCCAGGCTGTACAACAGCTTACCTTTGGGTCACTGTATCATAGACGCTGCTACTTCTTTTTTGTGGTGGGATCCTGCCAAAACAGGGCGTTGCGAAACTTTCCTTCTGCGGTCTACTGTGTGGTTTCGATTGCTTCCCAGGTACGTCGCCTCTTGCGCAATGTTCAAAGAGGTGTAATCATGAAAGTGTATGCTAGCGACACGATTCGCAGTGATGGCGTGGAACCTGGCTTGATTTGTAAACCATAGTGCGTGGAACAGTCTTCCAATGTGTTCGAGGAGTGGATCACACTCTAGTGTCGTCAGCGTACTAAATAGCCAGTGTCGAATTGAACCCAAGGAACCCGCGAACCAGCAATGTGACCAGATCACGCATATTTCACATCACCATCATCATCAGCATCAGCATCAGCATCATCATCACCACCACCATCATCATCATCATCATCATCATCAACACAGGTCATCACTAGCAGAAAAGGTATGGGCTTGATGGGCAGCCTGAACGGACTCCTGTACTCTGTGTCTTGAGTAAGGATGCACCTGAACCTCTCCTGATTTATGCAATGTAGATAAGCAAACGTGAACAACTAAATTCGCATGAGTTGCCCGAACTTGTGTGAGCTGGTTCGAGTCATTCTCTGCATGTGATCTTTCCTGGGGCGAAACGCAACCACTGTTCATGGAGCCGTGCAAATAAATACGTCAAGCCCCGAAGGCAAGGCACCCTGTTGAGATCTGCATGACTAGCTAGGCCAACAGCATCTCTGACCATGAACTAGGATTCTCCTAGGCACATGCTCATAGTGGTTGAAGTGGAATCGAGCGCATTCTATTAGCCTCAGGCTTCTAGGTTGGGAACTACTTCTGCAGTTGTGCTTGGGAAAGAGGAGGGTCAATCATAGTCTGTAATTGTGGCTTGGCATTGCATACATGTATGATATGTTGATATGTAGGTGTGTATGTATATATATATATATATATATGTATACATATATACATGCATGTATACATGCACACATGGGTGTGTGTTGGGGGGGTCGATGCCTCAAACATGAAGCGAGGTAAACTGCAGCATATGAATAGAGACGTGGTCAGTGCCGCACATCCAGAATAACAAACGCTACTGCAAGTGCAGTGTAGTTGATAGTTGCCAGCTGGTGAAACGGAACTGATCAGATTTCAGGCACTGGTAGCCAAGGACGGCCAAAGAAGAAGAGTCCGTGGGTCCTCTCCTGACGTTGCACAACACCGGATACCGTTAACCTCACTCACAAATCCTCCATAGACCCTCTCTCCACACCTTTGTCACTGTTTAGCAGGCGGAGCGGGCTTCATTTTCCCAAGAAAAGAGGGCGAGGCTGTTTGGCTGAAAGTGGGGGGGTGTCCTCGAAGGAGCACATCTGCCACTGGTCTTTCAGCTCCTCGTTAACCACGCCCTTGCCGTACTCCTGGGTGGCAGTATGATCAGCGGTGATCACCTTCTCGAGCACCGGCAGGGGCAAGGGCGCGTGCAGCGTCTTGAAGTGGAACGGATCTGCGCTGTTCCTGAGCCAAAGACCAAGAGACACACACACACACACACACACACCGCGGCGGCATGGCAGGATCTGAGCGTGTCAGTCATTTGTTGGAATTCTGTCGTCCTTGGCACGTGGCCTCGTTCCACAAGAGTTGAAGATTTGAAGGAGTAATGCAGTCACGCAGCTTCATGTAAACCGTTGAGGCCGATTGGGGTGGCCGTGAATCGCAAAAGACACTCAGATAACCGATGTCTGTGATCCTGGTGTTTATGTGAGGGGACAACCCCAAATCATCACAAGTTTCAACATTTCAATCAATGCAGTCTCCTCAACATAGATCAAACTTGGTTGAAAGTCGAAGCATTCTCAACTTAGTAAATGTGGATGGGTTTCCACGCCCGCCATTGTTCCTCTCGGCGCTTAAACAACAACCCCTTGCAAAACCGGCAGGTGAATCTGTTGAACATGCCCGTCAGAAGATTCACGTCTTGTCTCGCCGCAGTGGAGGGGCCCGGCACGCCCATCCAACCAACAACAAAACGGCGCTTCCCACACGAAACCCGGTCGGCTCTGACGCGGGTCATGTGCATCTCACAGCAATGCTGGTCGAACTCCATCTGGCGGATGGCTGCCAGGTAGAAGGAGCCTTTCCTTGCTCGGGAAAGGCGATCGATTCGCTGGAGAAGCCGCAAAGGATTCCAAGCCAACTCCGAACCCCAACAGCCACGCTGCAACGCCTCGAACTGGGCCCATTCAAGTGACCTCCTCTAAATGACCCTCCTGTTCTGGCATTTTGAAGCAAATTCCAAGCCCAGCTACTTTCTCGACTGCCTGCCTCGCCCACCTTCAGGGAACCCAGTCTCCCTCTCTCCCCCCCCTCGCCCCCGAGCCAAGCGGCTGCAGGTCCTCCTCGAGCCTCCGGTGGCACTGCAGCTCCCACAAAGGCGCGCGGCCTGAAGAACCCCCCCCAGGACGCCAGAGGGGGTATGAAGCTTATGTTGTTTTTTCTTTTGTTTCTGAAAAAGAGGACACCAATCACTTTGGGGGGGGGGCCTATGAAACTTTACATTGGTTGCCCTAAAATCCCAGGGTGATGCCACTACCCCAAATGAAAAGGATGCTTTGACATACCAAATGGTTGGTGTGTTTGAGGGGGTGATTGATGTCACGGGCTGATCGCCTAAGAAAAGGTACAACAACACCGTTTCTGTGCGCATTGCGCAGTAGAAGTCCTGGCTGATGAAAAACTCCTGTGTGGTAAGCTATATTGAGTGCAAAGAACCCTTAGCCAAAGAATCCGACTGACCAAATTGACCTGCCTTAAACAGGCATGGACCACTCACCTTTTCTAGCATGCTTCAGCCACCGTATCAAAACATCCCACGGTCGGTGTCTTCTTGACATGTACGTGTGACTTTCTTGAGGGACCCATTTTGGAGTTTGAATAGGGACAATCGAACGGGGAAAAAAACTCTGTCCGCTATTTTAACACCTATCTATTTTGACACGTACCTAATGTATGTATATATACAACATATCGTAGCTATGTTGGCACGTACCTATTTGTCACATACCCACTTTGACACATAGCTATGTTGACACATACCTATTTTGACACACGCCCATGTTGAATCATGTTGACACATAGCTATGCTGACACATACCTATTTTGACACGCGCCCATGCTGAATCATGTTGACACACACCTGTTTTACGCATACCTATTTTGACACATAGCTATGTTGACACATGCCTATTTTGACACACACCCACGCTCAATCATGTTGACACATAGCTATTATGACGAATACCTATTTTGACACATACCCATGCTGAATCATGTTGACACATACCTATTTGACGAATACCTATTTTGACACATAGCTATGTTGACACATGCCTATGTTGACACACACCCATGGTTAATCATGTTGACACATAACTATGTTGACACATACCTATTTTTACACACACCCATGTTGAATCAGGTTGACACATACCAATTTGACGAATACCTATTTTGACACATAGCTATGTTGACACATACCTATTTTTACACACGCCCATGTTGAATCATGTTGACACAAAGCTATGTTGACACATACCTATTTTGACACACACCCATGTTGAATCATGTTGACACATACCTATTTTACGCATAACTATTTTGACACATAGCTATGTTGACACATACCTATTTTGACGCACGCCCATGTTGAATCATGTTGACACATAGCTATGTTGACACATAGCTATGCTGACACATACCTATTTTGACACGCGCCCATGCTGAATCATGTTGACACACACCTGTTTTACGCATACCTATTTTGACACATAGCTATGTTGACACATGCCTATTTTGACACACACCCACGCTCAATCATGTTGACACATAGCTATTATGACGAATACCTATTTTGACACATACCCATGCTGAATCATGTTGACACATAGCTATGTTGACACATGCCTATGTTGACACACACCCATGTTGAATCATGCTGACACACAACTATGTTGACACATACCTATTTTGCCAGACGCCCATGTTGAATCATGTTGACACATAGCTATTTTGACACGTGCCTATTTTGACGCATACCCATGCTGAATCATGTTGACACATACCTGTTTTACACATACCTGCAACTCAAGGAAAAAAGCCACCAGTCTTGGGTCTTGGCGGTGAAGAGCGCCACTGGACATCTTTGCCCTCGCCTTCCGCGTCGAACCACACAAAGATCCGCTCCAAATGCTCCCGGACCTCTGGGTTGGTGGATTTTAATGGGAACGCATCCCCGAGTAGCGCGCCCTGTTTGGAGGTAACAGGCTGGTAAAACACCTGGTACTTTTGGTGCAGTTCTTGCTGTTTCTGTTGTTAGGCTGATATGTCGAGTTGCAGTTGTGAGCTGGGCTGGGGGAGGGAGAGGGGGGGGGGGGTGGGGAAGGGGAGGGGGGGAAGGAGGGGTGCGGCATGTTACCGTCGTTGTGAAACACGAGTGCACATGGAGAGCCACCATGTCCATCCCAGCAAACATGTCCATCCCAGCAAACATGAATTTGCTAGAAGAGTCTCTGTAGCGAGGGGAGCACGCAAACGACCCGCTTGCTTTATAGTGGGGATTCAATGTATAGACAAATGGTATCATTGCAAGACGATATACCAACTCAGCTGCACTCTAATGTGTTTCGCTACATGCATCGCTTCTTTTTTTGAGTATCAGCTGCGAGAAGGAATTCTGCCGTGCGGTGGCTGCAGTTTGTTGATTCAGGTTTTTGAGCAATTGAACTGCAACTATGCAAAAAAAACACATTGAGTATTTGACCATTGTTGCATTCTCCGAACCGCTCAAGCCCGTCGAAATGGCCCTTCGCGGCTTATCACTTGTTCAAAACAAAACCTTGGCACGACTCCACTCGCGAACCGAAAAGGGGCCAAGAGAAACTGCTCGAACGGTCTTTCCGGGTCGGTTCATGCAGAGTCGCTTCCTCAACCAGCGAGGGACGTCCCGTGCTTGAGGGAGAAGGTTCTATGAGCTCCAAAGGTGACCTGCTCTTCACAGCGTTTCGAGAGGCACTTGGACCCTATCGCTTACCCTATCGCTTGATCCCCCGTTCTCAGTTCTGGGAAACCACCCAGATTCCGAACCCGTGGCCTTTGGGACAATGTTCAACGAAAAGAATCCGGTCGCCAGAGAGGCTGGGGGAAAGCTGGCAAGGCAACCCATTCTTCGAATAGTAAGTATCCCTAGAATTGGGATCCCTAGAACATATGGCTCCAAAAATATAGGGGCATAGGAATTTCGCCCACCGCGCCCTTGTCAAATCCGCCTCGTACGACTTCAGCTTTGCCCCCTGCGGCATCTCCCGCGCGGTACGGCGATAGGGCACATGGCCACAGCGGCCTGTGACGTTGCGAGGAACAAACACTGGTCTCTGCTAATCAAACGTGTGAAAGCTCCCTTGGTTCCAGGCCGCTTCTTGTTGCCGTGGCTGGTTCTCGGTTTCGCCACATCTTATGGCCTGGTGCTGGCTTATCCTAAGGGACCGTGCCTGGCAACACAGGCACTGTCTAACTCCTTCAATTGGCTCTGAACTGAATGGGGAACCGCCTCCAAAGCGGCTGGCGAACATGAATCCGCACAACAATGATGTCCATGAAGGGCTCCAGGAAATCTACCCGTTTGGATGTGTTGAAACTACCCTTGTGCTGGTGTTCAATCTTTTTTTCGCGGGGATCTCCGAGCCTGAGGCATCGAAGGACCAGTGGTGGAAGGGGCAGCGCAGCAGATTGCCCACCACCATGCCGCCCATGCCCAGGTGGGCGCCCATGTGTGGGCAGAAGGCGTGCAGGACCCCCACCTATGCGTCCAAAAATGGGATCCGCGGGGAGGAGGAGGGACATCTGGAGGTGCGCAGGGCTGGAGCCCAAGAACCGCTCCGCAGGGTCCGTGATGGAATGCAGCTGGGCGAGTCTTATCTCAGATGTGCAAATTTCGACTTCAAGGCGAGAATGGAAAAAGCCCGGAGCAAGATGCTTGGATCGCCGGTGGCCGCTACTTTCATAACAACCTCCTTTGATACTTTGTTGGGATTCGATGATGCTCAAGAGGGCAATCCACGTCACAGAAGAGGCCCCTGGAGGTCATATGTCAAAATAATAGCCAATCCCGCAAGCACCACGGGGAGGGAGAGGGAGGGGGTGGCCTACGACATGTCAAGCAGGCAAGGACATTGTCCAGGCAATCTGCAAAGTTGACATAAATACCAACTGGTGCTGGGTTTTTCTCCATCCACGATGGCATGTTTGCAACAAATACATTACTGTCTTCTTCTGTTGTACTCTGCATTGGAAACGTGGCATGTTGGCAAACGCAGCACCCTGGAAAGAAGTCCTATAGATTCAAGGATTCGAAAGCGAGGGACTTTCAATTGCTTTTTGTTGCACGGCAAGCCCCAGCCTTCCCATCCTGCCCACGAAACGCCACCATGTAGGTGCCAAGAGCGGAAATGCTCTTCACGCGTCCTGACCGACCGCGGCGGGGGCCGGGCACCGTGGTCATGTCGGCAAACATGAGGATGCTGGCGGTGCCAAAACCCCGATTGGTGCTGAAGAAAGCCCAGAAGGAAGCAAACCGGTAGGTTCGACCTTCCCCCTTCCGCGCAGAAACACGCTTCTTGCCTTCCTGACGCCACAACTTGTGACGACGCATGCATCCCATGTGCCGCCCGTTTGCTGCCCGTCCGTCCGCCACGTCGGAGGCGTTGCACACGCAGTGCCAGCCATCGGGGAAGCCAGGCGGGAACATCTTCGCGCGCAAGGCCTCTCGGTGCACCCAGCTCTCAGGGAGAACCCCCCATAAGCAAAAGGCTGGACTGCGGTACTGGGGGTCGGGGTTGGTTCCAAAGGCAAACCCATTTCTTGGCTTCCCCATGTCTCTTCAAGCCTCGAAGCGAGACAATCTGGCGCCTGGTTCAATATTGGCACCGTCTGAAATGTCAAGTTGTTTTTCCCTTGAAAAGGACATCCACTGCTTGTTTGATGTATAAAAATGAAGACTGGGGACAAGTAACCGCTTATAGATGGTCGCCTCGACTGTTCTGATTGCTAGGGGGGGCATTCAACAGGCTACCACATTGCCCTTTCAAGTTGGCTCGTGCCTCTGACAGCTGTAGAGAAGCTAAGGCCTCAATCTTCCAAAGAAGGCATTGCACCATCCCCCCCAAGAAAACCACATACTGAGAGTGGTTCCCTTTCTGCCTGAGGGAGAAAACACACACACACACAGCCGGCGCCACAGCCCATTCTCTCGGTGCGATTGGATAAGGAAAGTGCAACACTGGCTTGTTTACAAGAATGTTTGGTTCCCCTGTACCCTCTCCAAAAACATGGGAGAGGAAAAGAAAGGTCCTGGAAAACAACTCTCCTTCAAAAGGCACGCCCGATTTGTGGGTTCCATGGCAACGCGGACCAACACTCACAAGAGCACAACCAAGAATGAGCCCAGGTATCCCCAACAGCCCCGGAACCACCTGGCCATGGTTCAAAAACAATGGTACCATTTTGGGATAGGTGCACCACCCATTTTTGTCTATTTTGGTGGGGATTGGGATGTTCACCGGGGGTACGGGGTTTTGACCCATGGCCATCTGGGCAAAGACCAGCTTCCAGCTGGTCTAAGAAAAACAAAAACGCCCCACTTCGCCGGCCTTGAAATGCCGGGAACTGGGGTCGTGGTAGTCTTTGGTCCTCCGCCTCACCGGCAGCAAGGCGAGCCTGCGCAGCGTGTCGCCAAGCAAACTGGGGGAAGAGCCAGGCTGTGGTTTTCGAGTCTAGTCTTTCTATGCTCCATTTAAAACGAAACTCAAAAGGACAATCACCATGTTCAGCGTGCCATCAGAAGCTAGACATGGCCAATAGGGGAGTTTGGGTCTCTATTGAATGTCGGGCACGCCCAGGTGTGCGTTGAACTGGGCCGACTGAATGACCAACTCATCATGACCAACTGATCGACCCCGTCTCGCTCCATAGCGCGCCCAGTAACCCGCACAGCGACTAACCGAGCGACCGACAAAGTGGCAGGCAACAAACCAAAATGGACCAAACAAAATTCATCACCAAACCCTTCTGGCCGAGCATCTGGTAGAGCCCTGCTAAAAAGGCAGCTGCCAGCAGGGAGGCAGTGCGCACTCTCTCGCGGCGCAGCAGCAGGGCACCATGGCGGAAGCAAAGTGCCAACCTGAGCTCAATGGAAGGCTTACATTCAGGGGATGTCTGTTTAATCATATGATTCTATGATCTTGACTGAGTTTGGCTTGAAGAACCCCCGGTACGGGAACCCAGTTGATTTAAAAACAAAAAAAAAAACTCCTACAAGCCCCATGCCAGAAGAAATCTTTCACTTTTAGGGGCAAACCCCCTAGAAATCCGCGAGGTTCATTCATCCAGGGTTCGACATGCGTGAGGACCCCTTGTGCCCCGTACAGCAGGAAAAGAACAGAGATGAGTTTCAACTTGTGAGTCGAAGTCAACCACCAAAGCAGGTCCACTCTCCCATCCACTGTCCCATCCCGCCAGAGAAATGCTCCTTCGAGGCAAATGGTCTTCCATGAGTGGGAGGGTATCATCATGTTTGCAAGTAATCCTGAATTGGTGGCTTTGATTGGCTTGGAGGTTTTAGCCCACTTTTGCAATTTGGAAACCACGAAGCCTCCAACCCAATCCAAATCACCAGTTGGGAGTCAGGTGATTTACAAACCAGCAAAAAAAGCCAAGGAGTCTTCATGGTCGCAACGCAAAGTTGTTGGTCGAAAACCAAGCCTGCCGCCTCGCGAGGCCAAGCCGCGCTGAGTGGCGCAAGTCTGCTGTCTCCTGCCACTCCTCGGAGCATGGCTGCGGGACCACCACGCAGACACTTCCTACCCCGCGGAGAAACAAGCGTGCGGCTTTTGGCAACCATGCTGATGGGTGCCTGTAGGCCTACAAGGCAGCACAAAGCAGCCATCTTGCGAGACGGCAGTTGCAACATTGTGCAACCTACCCGCAAGCAAAACCACCAACAGCTGCAAACGTAGGAACTAAAGGGGGGGTCCGACTGACTGACGTGATTGCCAGTTGCGGCTGACGGACCCATCCGCAAACACATCCCGTTTGCCCCACAGAAGCAAGCGTACGGCCTTTGGCAACCATGCTGATGGCCTGTAGGCCGCCCCCGTCTGGGCCACTGCGAAGCCGTGCGCTCGTGCTGTGCACTTCAATTTTGGGAGTGTTTTGTGCACATCATTCACGTGAAGGTTCATGTCCACCAACATCTGTTGAGCTCACCCCAACCTGCTGCATGTTTGGAGGGAGAGCTCCAAATGTGCAACATCACCCCAACCTCGCGTCGAAAGATGGCACGATTCTGCTTGTTTGTGTCGGCCAGCAAAACTGCATCTTCAAGCAAAGGAAAAAACATCTACGACGCGGTCTTACGGCGAGATCTTCCGCCGAGGCACGAGTTGCAACGAGAGCAGCCCGAGGAAACTTGCGGTCGCGAGGCACCAGGCTCCATGCCAGTCGCCCATGGCAAGAGGGCGCTGCGAGTGAGTGGCGGTTTTGCGCGAGAGATGCTGAGCGCGATGGCAATGCTCCATTTGGATGTGGCTGAAAAGAAATGGAGCCCGCAATGGCACCTGGGTAAACGGAACCAAAGACGAAAATAACATATATGCGTAACCCTAGCTCGTTGATTTTGAGCCACACCCATGAGGGGAAAACCATTCTGTTTCTGACAGGAAAGGGCGATTCCACGAAACCTGCAAAGGCAAGAAAAGCTGTGGCGCTCGCCTGAAATCGTTTGAGCCTGTGCTTCTGGTTGTTTCGGCGCACGTGTGCGCCCACTGCAATGCTGCTTTCCACCCGCAGGGCCATGCCAAATGGCTGAAGCGGGCGAGGTGAGGCCAAAAGCTTGATGCCTTGAAAGGCACACCCAACAGCCTGGTCGCAATACAAACCACTCAGATTCGGGGCAAAAACCCATTTGAGGGGTGGTCTATTCTGATTTCAAGGGTATCGAGATTCGTCCTGGGTTTGGCTTCCCCACTTGTCACAGACTTCCCCCACTGACCTAGACCAAACCCCAAAGACTACATATTGCGTTTAAACCTTAGTTCGGCCCTACCCCGCACTTGCTCTTATTGTGTATGCTGGGGCATGTTCCAGGTGTCCGGGCGCACCTTGATCTTAGCATTAAATTTACGAAGAGTCACTGCGCATCGACACCCGAAAAAGGGGGACGCCTCACTACCCATGGCCACCAAAACCCAAAACCCAAACCCCCCCCCCCCCCCGCCCGGCCTCGCCGTTGCCGGTGGCCCGGTCGTTAAAAATTGGTGGCCTCCGTACCAGGCGGAATCAGAGACGAGCCCAAGGACGTCAGCCCAAGGGGCAGGAGGCTCCCTGAGAACCTTAGGGGTCGGAAGGGTTCCGAGAAAAAGATCTGGTGAAACGTTTCGCCCCGAATGTCTCTCCCCTCTGCACATGAGCACCATGAGAGTGCTGCAACCGGCTTGCCTGGCTCAAGCCTTTCATCCTAATGGCGGGCGTGAAGTGCACGAAAAAGCCATAAAGCAAGGTTGACTCAACCTCCGGCTACATACCAGTTCGATGACCTACTGCAAAAAAGATGATCTGCCTGCAAAGGGATCTGGCAGCTTGCATGTGAGGCACATGCATGCGCTGCCTAAACGGTGCACCAACGCTTGTCAAATTCGTGTGAATCATAGTCCGCTGGAATGTATACAGAACCGTCAAGAAGCATCCCAAGAACAGCAACCTCTATGGCCGGGAATGGCCGCTTAAAGCCTCCAAGGGGTGCAAGGAGTTCAAAGCAATCAATCTCACACTTGGCTTGCGCTTCTTTTGTAAGGAATCCTCGATTTATACAACCCGTAACAAGGTTGGGCCGTTTCTTTGGTTGGACATACGGCGACCACCTGGTGGTTTCGTCTCCCAGGGAGGCCTCAGGCGCCGCCGCAGCTTCACGGGACGCACGGCCTGAGTGAGAGGGTGGTTTTTTTGGTTTTTTTTTGGGGGGGCTGTCGACTCCTTTGGGTGTGGCAAAAGGGACCCTCCAGTGATTGCGTTTCGTTAGCCTCAAAAATCGAACCCAAAAGGAGACAAAATGATCATTCAAGGCCCTAGTCGGAAGAAATCTGGAATAAATGGGGTTTGGGGGAGGGGGATTGGATGCCATGAAATTGGGGACCCCTCCAAGTGATTGGTCTTCCTTCGGCTAAAGATCTCTAGCAAAAACAGTTTCCAAAGAGTTGCGGACACACGCACACACACACACACCTAGTTGAAGGGGATTCTAGCCGACTTGTTCTGTTGTTCAGCCAAATAATTGGGCCCGTTTAGGAACCACTCTTTTTGTGGGAGCCAGCACAAAACAAAACCCATCTGAGGAGGTCCCTAGTTTTGACGTGTAGACACGTCCCCCTCGCCGTGGCAACTAGAGATTTGGGTCTGGCTTACAATAACGCTACCTCCTCAGGGGGGGAGGGAATTTGAGAGAAACACTCACCCATTTCAAGCGAAACGGTCTTTGGTTCAACATCGGAAGAGGCTTGTTGCCGGGGATGTCCGTCGATGTGAGTCACAATCAAAACCTAGTCGGAGCCCGTTGGTTAGAACCTGCATCTTTCGGGTCGCCTTCAGAATAGGTCCTCCCAACACAATGTTTACAGCCCCTGGGCTTCGGGCTGAAGACCCCATCTCAACTGGTCCTGTTTGGTATTTCAAGGGAAGCCGAAAGGAAAAGAAGTGTTCTATGGGGCCACTATTTTGAGAAGCTCCCAGCCTCCCCCCACCAAAAGGCGTGATCTGCCGCTGAATGGCACGCGCCGCATCTCCGCCGGACTTCGCGGGCTGCATCACCCGCGAGAAGAAATCCTGCGGAGCCCGATTCTCATGAAATGGCTTTGATAACTTGGCATGGGGTGGCTACTTTTGAATCAAAGGAACTCAAAGGACAATCAGGTGTCCATGGGTCAAAATCCCGGCCCCGTACCCCCAGTGAATATCCCAATCCCCACTAAAATAGACTAAAATGGGTGGTGCACCTATCCCAAAATTGTGCCATTGGTTTTGAACCATGGCCATGTGTGTAATGATGTTCGCCCTGTTTACCAAACACAAATCCGGTGCCAGCTGCCAATGCCCAACCCGAATCCATGCTCCGCGCCTGAGTCGTGAATATCTAAAAAAGTGCCAGTTGCGTGCCCATCCAAGTCATTGTGTGAGGCAAGCGCAAGCAAGAAGGTCAGGACTCAGGATGTGTAGCATGCGATGTGAGTATTCATGGGGCTGGGGGGAAGGGAGGGAGGGGGGGGGGAGCCCCAATAAGCCCCAAATATGGCCTTATTAGGGGCTTAATAAGGGCTTATTGGGGCTCCCTCCCCCTCCCCTCCCTCCCCCCAAGCCCCCTGAAGTATATAATGTTTTTCACTGATTATGGGAACGGGGCATCCGCCCGCGCGCAATCACGCACACACTGAAAACCTCACCCGGCAAAATGATGGGTGTACCCAAAAAGTCGCCCCCTTTTGGGGACGGAGTTCAAAGGGAGCCACGAGGCCACGCGCTTGAGACATCCGATCCGCAACCAGAGGGCGAATATGCAGCCAGGCCATGCGCAGAGCACCTTTTCGCTTACCCAAGTTCTGTGGTGTACTGCCAGTTCTCATTTAAGACAATGGCGAGCTAGAATCTCGGGAACTTGCCAACTGTGCTAAGCAACTCGAAAATGTCTCTATACGGTGTCCTTTCAAACAAATAAATAAACAAATACAAATAAATAAATTCATAAATAAATAAATTCATAAGTAAATAAATAAACAAATAAATGACCGTATTATATATATACATGTATTTATATAAGCAAATAAACCACCCGCACCACACGATTTTGGGACCAAGCCAGCTTTGCCAGGCGCCTCTCGAGCGCCTTGGTCCAAGCAGCGCCGCTGGGCGAACAGTGCCGCCAGCGCCACGTCGGCCTGGCGGGAGCTGGGGACCCGGAAGCGAAACATGCTCCATGTCTGGCTCTGCTCTCGAAGCTGACGATCCGAGGATTTTGGAACGAGTTTGTGACGAAGCCCCCGAAACCCACTTAACCCACTTCCATGCTTGTTGGAAAGAGGGTAGATTCTTTGCGTGCTTGCCTTGCGAGCAAGCTTGGCTCGATCGTTGGTTTGCTGGCTTGCCTGCATTCGCTCCCTCGCTTGCAGGCGAGCGTTTGCTCACCTGCTCGCTCGCTGGCTTTCTTGGCCTAGCCTCTGCTCCCTCGCTCACTTGCTCCCTGGCTGGCTGGCTGGTTGACTGACTTGCTTAATGTTGTGTTTGTTCGTTTAGTTGTTCGTGCGTTGCACTTGTTCGACTGATTAGTTGAATGATTGGTGGCTTGGTTGGTTGGGTTGGTTGGGTTGGTTGGGTTGAGTTGGTTGGGTTGGTTGGTTGGTTGGCTGGCTGGCTGGCTGGCTGGTTGCTTGGTTGGTTGGTGGGCTGATTGGTTGGTTGGTTCGTTGGTTGGTTGGTTGGTTGGTTGGTTGGTTGGTTGGTTGGTTGGCTGGTTGGTTGGTTGGTTCGTTGGTTGGTTGGTTGGTTGGTTGGTTGGTTGGTTGGTTGGTTGGTTGGTTGGTAGGTTGGTTGGTGGGCTGGTTGGTTGGTTGGTTGGTTGGTTGGTTGGTTGGTGGGTGGGTGGGTGGGTGGGTGGGTTGGTTGGTTGGTTGGTGGGCTGGTTGGTTGGTTGGTTGGTTGGTTGGTTGGTTGGTTGGTTGGTTGGTTGGTTGGTTGGTTGGTTGGTTGGTTGGTTGGTTGGTTGGTTGGTTGGTTGGTTGGTGGGCTGGTTGGTTGGTTGGTTGGTTGGTTGGTTGGTTGGTTGGTTAGTTGGTTGGTTGGTTGGTTGGTTGGTTGGTTGGTTGGTTGGTTGGTTGGTTGGTTGGTTGGTTGGTTGGTTGGTTGGTTGGTTGGTTTGGTTGGTTGGTTGGTGGCTGGTTGGTTGGTTGGTTGGTTGGGTTGGTTGGTTGGTTGGTTGGTTGGTTGGTGGTGGTTGGTGGTTGGTTGGTTGGTTGGTTGGTTGGTTGGTTGGTTGGTTGGTTGGTTGGTTGGTTGGTTGGTTGGTTGGTTGGTTGGTTGGTTGGTTGGTTGGTTTGGTTGGTTGGTTGGTTGGTTGGTTGGTTGGTTGGTTGGTTGGTTGGTTGGTTGGTTGGTTGGTTGGTTGGTTGGTTGGTTGGTTGGTTGGTTGGTTGGTTGGTTGGTTGGTTGGTTGGTTGGTTGGTTGGTTGGTTGGTTGGTTGGTTGGTTGGTGGGCTGGTTGGTGGGCTGGTTGGTTGGTTGGTGGGCTGGTTGGTTGCTTGGTTGGTTGCTTGGTTGGTGGGCTGGTTGGTTGGTTCGCTGGTTGGTTGGTGGGCTGGTGGGCTGGTGGGCTGGTTGGTTGGTTGGTTGGTTGGTTGGTTGGTTGGTTGGTTGGTTGGTTGGTTGGTTGGTTGGTTGGTTGGTTGGTTGGTTGGTTGGTTGGTTGGTTGGTTGGTTGGTTGGTTGGTTGGTTGGTTGGTTGGT